AAATTACAACCATACTTCCGTAATCCTTATCGAAAATTTACTTTAGAATCTTGATAGTCATAACATTAGCCACTGACTGTGCATCCCTCGTGGGGAGGGGAGTAGGGCCTCAATTCCAATGACGCATTAGACCCCAAAAGGGGAACTTCATCTACCTCCTTTTTGCATCTCCCCTCAGGCTTATCATGCAGAACCACGGAACCGTGAATTCGGCTCTCATTCGGCCGGGCACGCCGGGCGACGTTGTGAACCTCTGCATTGGCGGACGTCTATTCATTACCCGTCGGGCCACCCTCTATCGCCTCCCAGACAGTCGACTCTACATGATTGCCACTCAGGGCGAACAGCAGAGTCGGGCCTATCAGGAGGAGTTTCGCTCACCGGAGCGTCGAACACCCGACGTACAACACACAACCACCTCGGGAGAGTACACAGTCGGTGGAGCTACTCTCCTGCCCAACGCCATAGTCTCTTCCCTGTTTGGCAACAAGGATCTCATCTCCGCAGCGGCTGTCTGCCGCAATCAGGTCTACTCCTCTGAGGAGAACAACCTTAACACCCCGACAACTCCCCGGCCACGCGACGCCTATCCACATAGCGGTGGTGGGGGTGAATACGTCTCCACGCCGCAGCCCGTCTACTTCTTCGATCGAGATCCGGAGATCTTTCGATTCGTGTTGGATTACTATCGCACCGGGGAGTTGCACTTGCCCTCCAACATCTGCGGTCCGTTTGTGCGTAAAGAGCTCATATTCTGGGGCATTGATGAGTCCCTGATTGATCCCTGCTGTATGCCTGCCTACATGCGGTACGATGAGGAGAAGAGAACAAAGAAAACTTTGTTTCGGGACTGTTTTGAGGACATTGACTCCATGCAGAATCTGGTGAAGTTCTCGCGAGGCTGGAAAAAATGGCGATACCGACTGTGGCTTTTTATGGACCATCCGAGCTCATCCTTTGTTGCGAAGGTGAGAGTTTTTAGAGTCAATTTTCATAAAATCCCATCCACTTTGTAAGTTTACCAGTTAAAGTACGTAAATTCCTTAGTTGAAGCAGCATTGAGTAGATGGAATTGGAGTTGCATTTAATTAAAGGTTTCAGAAATTTGCACGCCAAGATAATCACATTGCGAATAAGAAAAAACGCAACGATTATATTTCTCCATTAAATATCAACTGTGGTCTGATGTATGTTTTACTCCCATCCTTCGAAAATAATTCTTTTATATACCTCATTATAATTATCTGAATATTCAAAGAAATAGTAGCGTAAATTATTATTTAGTTCTAAAGAAAGCATGCATAACATATAGATTAATACAGAATGGCAATTTATTCACCATGCAGGACTCACTCTACTAGATTAGAGCGATCGCAAGGAAAGTAAAGTTCAGTTTACAAGGAAAATGTACAAACATTTGAGGTTTATTAACAAACGTGACTTGAATTCAAATGATTTCATACAATATCGATCGATTCTGCATGACTCTGATGATACTGGCTAGCGATTAGAACTCGATCTACATCAATCTCAGTCTCGGCAAAAGTTATCAATACCTGGTTTCACTTACACAAGATCAGTTCTATAACTTTTCGACATAAACTTCTTCCGGAGATTTTTATCGAACTTTACTTATTGTCTAAAATTTTGTGCTCGGTTTGATACAATAGTCTTGTTTTATTAATATTTTCTAAATATATCTTATAGTAACGCGTAATTTTGTGCTTTCTTAA